CAGCGTCATGAAGGCTCTCTGAAATAATACCAAAACCTGAGCTACGATCAGAATATATTTTGATAAGCAAGCAACATAACCTTGATAGGGAACTCCACACTGCTTTGAGCGATTTTGATTTAATCTTCCTTGATCGGGTGATCTGATGGACAAGTGGCATGATCGCTGACCGGGCCAATTGATTATGCAACCTTGCGATGCGATTATCGCTCGCGCATAAAAGCGTTACGGCTCGGCTGGCAGTGAACAATCGATCACGAATGCCCTCTTGCCTTTTTCTTCCGAATAGGTTGGCGAATACCAACAGCTACCAGTTCAATGCCCATACCACATTCAGTATCTGCATTGTCGCTTCAATCTTAGATAAATTAGCATCGTAACTCATTTCCAGCTCTGAATTCTGAATTGACCTGTGGTTTCTACGAGCTGCCCAGCTACAAGACCGATATGCCGTTTGCACCTACTTTGTTTTATCAGGTTTCCTACTATTTACTAACAGCAGCATTCCGCAAAGGAAAGATTAGGTGGTGTTTTCTTAATCACAGCTAAACACTGAAGATTACCCTCAACATTAATATCGGAAAGTGTTGATTTACCTTAATAAAACAGTTTTCTGGGTTCAGTACTATTTTACCTAACCTATCAACCGTGCTGTATATTGGCCTAATTTTCAACTGTTTCAAATCGATTTAATCCCCTCCCGTAATTTCCCAGTAGCACTCACAATTGCGTACCTAAGAAATATGGTTGCTTTGCTCGTGATATACAACTTCAGTCACAGTTTTTGGCCTCTTCAACATCGTTATCCACCTATTATTGGCCATCGTGCTGCGTACACAAACATACTGCAAGGTAACTGCAATGCCTACAGAGATAAACCATTTCATGTGTTGAGGCAAACAGATTTAACCATGTGGGTGAACAGTAAAATCTAACACCGCTAATTCCATCCTTTCAAAGCTGGATCAGTGAAAGTTTATAGGTCAATAATGCTGTGTTGACCAAGGTTGATCCCCATTGGTTGCATATTTGGAAAAGCCAATCAGTGTACTTCCCTGGATGGTCGATCGTAGCACGTGACTGTTCAGCAATGGACTGACCACCTGACACTAAAACTCTTCATGGTGCATTAATCGTGTATCAACTTCCTCGACCAGGCTGAAATACAATTCCACTTAGGCTTGAACACACGTCTGGTACTCGTCCGTCGTTTCACGTATGGCGCCTCTTTCGTGTGACCAGAATGCATTTGTTAAGCAGTTTACCAGGATACTCTTGCTTATTCAGTTGGCAATAACATTTGTTGGATAGTTTCTTATTATCCTGTAGCAAACTTTGTTCGTTTTACACCGCGGAAGACGTGTGTGCCATTACCGAATACTCACCGGACGTAGGTGCGTGAAGCTCAGTAATAAATTCACTTGAAAGATGACATCATAACGACCTCTTACCTACATCATAAGGAATGTCGATGACATGGCGGGCGATCACAGAGCCATCAGCACGACAAGGAAGGTTGTTATGTAGAAATCGTGCTTGCCACAACGTCTTCAAAAGAGAACCAGTGTTTGATCTAACTGAACGCCTTCAACACTTTCACTGCTGATCACATCACTTAGGGTAAAATTCGTTTGTTTCTCAGTAACTCCATCTCGTTAATGGTATTCGTGCTAAACTAAGAACCGTTCGAAACAGACGAAAATTTAGCTTTTGACCTACTTCGTATATTTCATCACCTGTTACGCTTCTCCGTTTCGTGAAGTTGTGCCAGTTTTTGTCTTTTTAATTACCACGCCTCATTCATTCAAAAGCTTTCTCTTCAACTGTCTGGCATTAATTCCTACCGCTCCCTAGTTCTCGCTCTTGTTTGAATGACCATGAGCTCTGGGTGTTTAAATGATTAGGCACAATGTAGCGTTTCATTTTGTCTTTGCTCTTCCATCCACAATCCGCGCTTCATTGGATTCATCCTTGTGCTTCGTTCCTTCATCCAGCTACGTACCAACCCCGGACTGTGGATCAACTCGAGTGATGCTTAGCGTACATACCGTGCTTTCATGTGCTTGCTGAATGGTATGCATCAGGGTATCATATTTGAACGGCCTCTACCATACCGCCACACCCGCCTCTTCTTTGCCTTTTTGGCCTCATTTAGTGAGCCTGAGTGTTCCCATGGCAAGCTTTTGCATTCATCTTCTTCGTCCCAGTTCCTGGTTTTCCTGCTCTTACCTTCATCCAACTCGACTTACTGGCGGTATCAGACATGTTTGCAAGTGGCACTCTAACTCTCTGAACAACATTGTTGGTTCCGTTAAATTACGACTGTTCTTTGGCGAGACAACCGCGTACTATTTGTCATCGACTTTTCACTTAAGCAGGGCATAAGTGTAATTAGTTGACTCGGATGCCAGCAACACATAACTGATGTCCATCAAATGAATAATGTTCACCATGAACCAGGCAGTCATTAACGAACAATCTAAATGTCCGAAAAATCACCCACCAATTGATTGCGGCAACATGTGGGGTGTAAGTTACTCCGGAAAATGCAGTGTGATTTTTCTATGCATTCTAAGGGCACATGAGGCAACTATCTGGCAGGTTTCCATGGAGATTAGCACATGTTTACCAGCGGCAGCTACTTTATACCTCTCTGTTTTGTTTAATGGATAATCATTGGGGCACAACTCACGGGAATTTGGAGTTATAACTTATCACATGGCGTGAACTGGATTGCTCAAATTCGCAATACTTTCCTCACGCATAATGTGTTTTGCTTATTGTCTCCTATATGTGAAGATGATCGATGGCACCACTGCGGTTCGTGCACTCTATTGACGTTCCGTCAACCACCTGCCGCTTTCACCGTCTTGCATTCAGCAGTTCAACCCACTCTGGTACGAATGAAGTGAAGCGTGAAAAATCATGTGCCACCGTTGAGATTTGGGGCACAAGTCTACTGTGAATTTTAACCTTTCCCCGTTTGTGTCGCATACTTATCTAGGTTTCCCCTCGTAAAATAACCATTAAACACTCCGCACAGAGGCACCTGTGGTTATAGAGGAATGATGGGGAGATTCAGGCAGGCAGAACGATTGGGTTGCCAAGGTGGTATCAGCTTTTCATCTGCGGATCGTGAAAAGAAATTCTACTGTGGAACAAATCGTGCAATGGTGCAGAATCTCAACTGATCCCATCGGATGGCCTGGATAAGTGCAGGCAAAGGGTGCTGTCGACCAGGTATAGTACGCATTCCTGGACTCACCCTGCTATTCTTATTACCGCAAATGTTCAATTGGCTACCATGCTTTCAGGTGGACCCGTGTGACCGGAACACTTGCCGAGTACATATTGTGGTTACTAGTTGTACAATGGTCATTTTGTAGCAAAACGACGTGGCAACAAAGCGTAACATTTACTGATGTCGTGAAAAAGCTCAGGTATGGTATCTGCCTCTTTCTAACTCCGCACTCGATTTTCTGAATTCCGATGTCGACACGTCTGTTTGCCTACGCGGTCTGAACCGTTGAACATTTTCTGTTTATTCCTCCTCATGTCTCCTCTTCCGTTTCTTTATGGTCCGCTAGGATTCACTCGAAAGCTCTTGCTTTGCTTAGTCGTGGCTGTATCACTAAGCTTGTGGTCAGTATTGAAGGCTACGGTAATTGTGTACTTATCTGATCTCTTGTGCCTTAGACGAACATCTTTGTTTGTCTGGCCTCAGTCTCGCTACCGGCTGCCACTAGTTTCATCATGCCACATTGATCCGTCTGGTCACACTTGTTGCGCCCAGTCCAGATCCCACTTGCTCCCATTTTCGTTGTTCGTTCAACTTACGACTAACCTTGGAATATCATCACCCAACAGTATAACAGATGTGGTTTCTGCCTAATGAGAGGGCGCTTAAATCCTACCACAACGTATTCGATATCAATTGGCTGGTCCGCGTAAGTTAGTAATGACTCATACTTATCAATGACGCACTTGGCGTGTATATACGGAACCCCTGCGCCTGTAACGCTTGTTCGGCTATCCAATCGGCAGTTTGTGCTGAACAGCAAATGGGTGCACGCATGCATCTGTGTTAGGGCGCACAATCACGCGTAGATCCATGAATTTGGCCTTACCATTTGATGGCTTGCGTGGCAGCTCTGCACCAGAGTCAGTTCGTCGAGAGTGGGGCACAGAGTCCACATGAACCAGTCGAACGATCGATAGCTCTGATCGCGGCGTGGCATGCTGCATGCGCTATTTTAGGATGAGCAACTTTCAGCGAACTGCGCATTGATGTGTCAATTGGTTTTGCCCATGCACTTCCAGTTCGGCAGCCTTGAGTCGGTAGAAAAAGGGACAAACGCTACGTGCACAACACAGCCATTCCTTGTGACTTATGTCCAGGAACATGCCTTTTCATACCGTACACGCAGTCGCGGGTTGGTTCTAGTGTGTTGCTCAGCACATAGCGACAGAATACCCACCACACATGCTTGCCGAACGGTTCGATTTGTACGGTTTAAAATCCTGCCCCCGAGCTGATACTTAAATGCCCAGTTTATGGTACCGTAGAATATTCCCGTAGGTTTTATTAAGTGTTATTTGTGCATACATCACAGAGCATAGGAATCACTGGTTGTACGATGAGTTACAGAATGACGGAA